AGACCATCGCCTCCCCCTGGTTATAGTTATAGTTATAGTTATAAATAGTCTAGTTATAAATAAAAACAGAGAATGCTGGAGAAACTCAATAGGACTGGCAGCATCTGTGGGGAGAAACAATATTCATGTTTCAAGTCAAACATGATTCTTCAGAACTGAAGGATTTGGAATATAGTGGTTTACACACTGTTGATAGAATCGGAGAGGAGTGAATGGTGAGGATGCCCAGAGCAAAACACAAAGCAAGTGCTAATGGCAGTAAAGGAGAGATGGAGATGTGAAGTAGGTGTAAATGATATGTGTGGAATACAGAAAAGTGGGTCCATTCTACTGACAGCAATACCAACAAAACAAACAATATATGGGCGGGGGAACTCTAATTGAAATGTAAGACATATAATCATACTCTGAAGTTAATGACCTCAAAGATGAGTCCTGGGTCTATAAAATTCCAAAGCAGAAAAATCATGTTTCTTGCATTGAGCTTCGTTGGAATATTACTGCCACTTAGGAATCAAAACGTTAACTCTGTTTCTCTCGCAACAAATGTTGCCAGACCTGCTAGGTTTCTCTCTCATTCTCAGTTTGTTCTTATTTCAGATTGCCAGCATCTGCAATAATTTGCCCTTATTTACGCTGTAAACTCGAAAGAAACTGATGGCATAATAGATACAAGAAATGAATGGCTACATTGACATCTTGTAGCGATGGAGGCTTCATATGACTTTGGTCGTCCCTGCTAGGCTTTGCTTTGAACAGACATCAGATATAAAAGATAAACCATTCTACTGAGACAAAGTCAGCATATTATTACATCTCTCTATATGACACACACACGCACACGCGCGCACACACATACACACACACTCCTCCCTGTCCCCACTAACCCCCAGATTTGGTTGGCTTGAATTGATATGTTATCATGAAATATACAGGTCAAACTGTCCTGCCATGGAGTTGAATAGCATTGTCCAATGCCAACTAGCTCTTGAGGGAAACTGCACTAATGTTGAAGAAAAGTAAATTCTTGAATGGAGTATAACTTTGTCCCTTAGATGAACACTCTCCAGATGCTGAATATGTAGATCTGCTTCTCAACCCCGAACGTTACACAGGCTATAAAGGTCCAGAAGCATGGAAAATCTGGAACAGTATCTATGAAGAAAACTGTTTCAAGTACGTAATCTGTCAATAGAACAAAGTGCTCTCAGTTCTTTAACAAACTATAGTCAATCATTAAACTGTATATAGTATAAAGATAGCAATTATTTATTTCTCTCCTCACTGTAGGCCAAACTCCATTAGAAGACCATTCAACCCATTGCTTCCTGGCAGAGGTGAGTTAACAATGTGACTTTTTTTTGTGTATTCAGAACAATTGTTTTGGACAACTCCAGTAACTATGTTGGCTGTGGTATTTCTGATCGATCAACTGTAAAATATATATTACCAAATTTATTTAGCAATACCATGACTTATAACATGTATATCATAGTGAGAAAAGGGGATTCATTTCAAAAAACTGAATGCAACTATCCAATTAAGTTGATTACACTTTTAATTGAGGACAAATAACAAAATGTTAATCTATCCTGGGTTAGTGAGTTTTCTTATTCTAGAGCTGAGGAAGTAATGTTCTTGATGTTGGGAGCCTAGGAAATATGAAGGTGCACGCATATTCGGATGCTGATGTACTCAAATCCCTGAAAGTTGGTGCACAGATGTAAAGGTATTTAGGAAAGTGACTGTCCATTTCAAGGGAAGGTGGATGGAATCTAAAATGAGGAAGTAATGATCCCCATTTAAATTGCATTTAATTTTGGGCACAGACCTCAGGAAGGAGATATTTCCTTGGCAGTAGCATGGTACAGATTCACCAGAATTTAACAATTCATATTATGAGAGCAGACTACATAAACTTGTAATTCCTCAAGTCTCTGGGATTTAAAATTAGCAAGTGATAGAGTAGGCTACATACGGAGAACCTACATCTTCTAGTGGTGGAAATCTAGAATAATAGAGAATAATATTAAGGTTAGAAATAGATTAGACGTGAGGTAAATCTAAAAAGATGTTTTCTCATAAGATAGTGGAAATTTGCAATGATACTGTCACTGTGATGCAGGGTTATATGGCATTTAAGAAGAGATTGAGAGAACTTAGGCAGGGGTATTGATGGATATGGAACCAATTAAGTTTGATGATGAAGGTTTTTCAGATTGACAGAATGTGGTCCCACTGATCTTCACGGAGACTTCTTTGCTGCTGTGTAATCTGAAGAATTTGAATGCAGAACAAAAGAGGATTGATATTGAAGTTTGCTTTTTATTGTATATAGGCTTGAGTGGGCCTGTAGAGTGAAAAAAGAAATCATCCAGTCTGGTGTCATACTGATTGGTAGTTAGAACAGTTTAGGGTCTTGAGGGAGTGAAACCTAAAATCTGCCCTGACTGAGACCTAAAGATATAGGGGCTATGCCTAGGTCTGTGGTAGATGTAGAGGGAGAACCTTAATTGACTGTATCCCCACCAATTTACTTGTAGCAGATGCATCTGACTGTGACAGTATTGGTAGAGTGACAACTGCACTGTCCTTGTGGAAACTCAAGTTCCATGTTCTCTGGAGGAACCCTCCATTGTGTTACGTAACACCACTACTGTGCTAAATGTGGGATTGATTTTGAACAGAACTAACAACTTGATTGGGCATCCATGAAGTGCAACAGATTGTACTCAGCCATAATCTGTAACCTTTTATAACATTTTCTTACTCCACTATCACCATCAAGCTGGAGATCCACTCTGATTCAATGAAGAGTGCAAGCAGGCATGCCAGGAGCAACACCAGGCATACCTTAAAAATAAGGTGTCAACCTTTAGAAGCTACAGTACAAAGAAACTGGCATGCAAACTACATGTAATGTTGCTCACAGTAGATATTTTCTGATCAACCTGCTCAGAGGTGTGATGACACACCTCTGGATCAGATAGGACTTGAACCTGAGATGCCTGGCTTAGAGGAAGGGACACACTAACTGCACCACAAAAGCCCTGAGTTCTTGAGAGTAGATATTTTCTAATCGGCCTGTTCAGAGATGTTATTACACACTTCTGAGACAGGTGTGACTTGAATCCAAGTCTCCTGGCTCAGAGGTAGGGCCACTACTACTGTGCCACAAGTGCCTAAGTTCCTCAGAGTACTATTCTAGGCTCACCTAACTTCAGCTACTTCATCAATGACTTTCTCTCCATGGTGAGGTTATTGTGCAATCATCAGCAATGTTCAGTGCCATTTGCGGCAACTCAGTTGCTGAAGCAGTCCATGTCCATAGGAGCAAGACTGGGACTATATTTGGGCCTGGACTGATAAGTGGCAAGTAATGTTTTTGCCACACAAATACCATACAATAGCAATCTCCAACAAGAGGAAAGCTAACCACCACCCCTTGACATTCAGTTGTATTATCAACACTGACACCTCCATTATCAACTCCTGGGGTTACCATTGACTGGAAAGTGGATTGTACCAACCATATAAATGTGGCCACGAGCTGGTCAGAAGCTGGAAACTCTGTGGGGAAATAACTCCCCTCCTGACTCCCCAAAGGCACATCGACAAGACACAAGTCAGGAGTGTGATGGAATACTCCCTGCTTGCCTGGATGGGTGCAGCTCCAATAACACCGAAGAGGCTTGACACCATCCAAGTAAAAAGAGCTTGCTTGATTGGCATTGCTTATAACACCTTCAAAATTCACTCCCTCTATTACAGTAGGAGCAGCATGTACATCTAAAAGTTGCAGTAGAAGAACTCAAAGCTTCTTAGATTGCACCTTCCAAATCCACAACCTCTACCATCTAGAAGGATAGGGCAGCAGGTGAATGGGAACACAATCACATGCAATTACACCTCTCAGCCATACACCATCCTGACTCAGAACTATTATTTTTCCTTCATTGTCACTAGATAAAAATTCTTAAACACTCTCCCTGACTGCACTGTGGGTATATCTATGTGCCAAGGAATGTAGCAGTTTGCGAAGGTAGCTCACCACCACTTTTCCTAGGTCCATTAGGTATGGACAATATATGCTGATCGAGCCTACATCTTTTGACTGAATAAAAAAGACGCCGTTTTAATTGCATGCAAATATTGCTCTACAAATCTACAGATGAAGTGAAAATTACTTTTTGTTTGTATTTGCATTTATTTAATGTTGCAATATGAGGAAATTAGACGTTTTTAACAGTCTTTTGAATTGGTACATTTGCCTTTTGCAGGTGATGAAGGTAATTTCTGTTGCTCCGCTATGGGATGCTGCAGCTGTTAGCTTGGATCTGCGGTTGAAGCCTGTTTTTACATTGCAGTGAAATGCTTACTCTGGGGACCACAGCAACACCTTTAGAATCTCCAAAAAAAATGACAATTTACCTTCAAACTGCAGTATACACATTTCATTGTGTGGATAATGTAATTTCACTTGTCCTTATTTATGATTAATGATTTTTCAGCTGTCTTCAATATTGACTGTTGTAGCTTTTAACATGCATTTAGTTGACAACAAAACAATGTGAAATGACAAAAGAACCAGGAGATTTAAAAACAAATCAGCAAAACAAATCTGTTATCTACAGGTACTAAAATCACAGATCTGTTTTATCAAAGTAAGTGTGTTTACAATATTGCAAGCTTTTTGATGTTTTAGCAATATGTTATCAACTGCCAGCTTAATCTCTAGTGTTGCTAACAGCAACTTCATTACAGTTTATTCAGAAAAAGTGAGATGTTATGCAACTCTCAACAACCCTCTTAGAATTTATTCCTGCACATACGCAGAATGGTTGATCATTTAGTGTCATCACAGTAGAGAATTTCACTGGATCACCTGTGCTGTTTAAACGTTCACTAGCGTTGACAACAAAGTTAATTCCATTCATTTCTAGAATCCTATTTCCAGTAAAGAATTTATTTAACCATTTTAAAAATTTCTTTTGTTGGATGAGTTAAGGGTGCAAAGGATAATAAAAACTTTTCCATTTCTTTGAATAAAGCCAGACTTAAAAATGCAGAATACAAGTAGGATCTTAAGTATTGCTTTGACTTAAATGCCTGAACTTTTACTCATCATAAAAATGAAAACCACATCTAAGAATTTTACCTAAGATTGCATTTTTGTTTTCTCAAATAGGTGGAAGCTTCTATAGCTGGCTGCAAGGTAACTGCATTTTCTTATTCTCCATTTACTTGACTGCTTAGTGTACAATAATGGTCATATGTTATCAGATAGGACTGTGCCTGTCTGATTTCATAGAAACAACTAATGTTGAAGCCCTTTGTACTTGTGTTTGACAAGTATTCAATATGTATTAATATATACCAATTATTATCAAAGAATGGAACAAACTTTCTATTTCAGGATTGTGTTTAGAGAAGAGATCATTCTATCGAGCAGTTTCCGGTCTGCATACAAGCATCAACATACATCTTAGTGCACGATATCTATTACAAGGTAGGTGTGTAGAAATTCATTGGTGTTCCCTTCCATCTGTTTTCCAACATTCTTGTGATCAGTAATAACAATCTACTAAATGCTGAATGTTCTAATGGCAATGTAGATCCTCATTGACCAGTCAGTTTTTCATTTTTTCACACCTTGCACTATGATATTGAGTAAATCCATTTCATAGTACTTACGCTCCTGAAGCAACTGGAATCGAAGAAAACTGACCACTTTGACAGGAACAGTGATCAAACTACACCTGAGGAAGGGTCACCGGACCCGAAACTTTAACACTGTTTTCTCCTTCACAGCTGCCAGACCTGCTAAGCTTTTCCAGCAACTTTGTTTTTGTTCCTGATTTACAGCATCTGCAGTTCTTTTGGTTTTTACAGTGATCAACCCGTTTATTTTTAGTTCTTTTATGGGATCTGGGCATTGCTGACAAAAGAAGCATTGGTTATCCATCTCTAAATTGCCCCTGAACTGAGTGACATGCTAAGTAATTTTAGAAGGCAGCTAGGAGTGATTTTCATCCAGCCTTACCTAGTTTAGTATTTGCCTACCTAGTTAGAGCCAGAGAATCATCTGGAATGATTTCTTTCCACTTTTTTAGAGTGTTACCTCTGAAGTGCCTATCTTTGGCTCATTCCTATTTCTCATCTGTCCTTGGCGTTATGACGTGAAAACACCATCGGGTTCCACATGTACCCAGATGACACCAACCTCAACCTCATCACGTCTCTGATTTGTCACACAGTGGTCTGATATCCAATACCTCTATGGGACAAAAATGCCCTCAAGCTAAGCACATTGAACTCACTGCCTTTGGTCTCCACCTAGCTGTGGTCTGAGGCTGAGCCAGACCATTCACAACCTTGATGTTGCATTTGACTGAGCTACTGAGACAAATGCACTCCTCCAAGACTGCCTCCTTCATTATTGGAGTCTGCTCTCCCTCAGCTCATTTGTTGAAATCCTCATCTATGCCTTTACCTTTGCACTTGTCTATTTCAATGTTCTCTTGACTGGCTTTCCATTTTCCACCCTTCATCGAGAACTCTCACTAAGGCTAGTTCACCATATCTGTGTTCACTGATCTGCAGTGAGTCTTGCAGTTGAGTAATGCCTTGACTTTCAAACTCTCATTACTTTCAACTCCCTCCGTAGCTTCACTCTTATCTTTGTAACCTAGCTTCAATCTAAGAATCCTTTGACATCTCCAATGTCATTCAATTTTGATCTCTTGTGCCTCCCTGATTTTAACTATTCCATAATTGGTGGCTGTTTGTGGCTGCAAATTTTCTTCCTTTTTCTTTTAAACCCCTCTGCCTCTCTCTCAGAACCTTGAAATCTACCTTTCAATCAAGCTTTTGATCACCTATCCTTCACATCCCCGAACAGATGTCAAAGTTTTGTTTCATCATGCTCCTGTGAAATGCTGTGAGATGTTTCACTGATATTGTATAACAGCTATTATGTTAAATCCTAAACCAGAACTTTACACACTAATAGTCCTGCATTCTCCTTCACTCTGTCCCACTATCACAAACAGTTGATCTATTCCTCTGACTGATATTTATTTATAGAAAGATATCTTAAGAAAAGAAAAAGTTTTTGTTTCAATGACCTTTTCTGACATTGTCAGTTTTGAAAATAGCAATTTTAAAAAAAAGGTATTAGCTGAATAGATCAATTTCAGCCAATTGAAAGCTGGAGGTTGGAAAGGACAAAAGGGAAGTGACCAAATAACTTGTACATTCGAAACAAATGGAAACAGGAAAGATTACTGATGCAAGAGTATGATATATTCCAGGCCAGAGAGTCATTAGGACCAGTAAACTCTTCTGCAGGTCATGATTTATAATTGCTTCTGTAATTCAAGCAAAAGGGTATTTATAACTAGAAGTGGTGACAATTAAATTTAGTGTTAGTGAAGTTTACTACAGGTATTTTTTTGTCATGAATGAGGAACTCGCATTGAAACATTGTTTCTATTTTCTTCATGCCTAATCATTTTCCGCATTTAAGTATTTAGAGCTTTCATTAATCATGGAAGACCGAGCAGAACATTACAATACAAAAGTTAACCATATTATTTTATAAATCTGAATCATCTATCACACTGATCTTCCATACTGATCAACTAACTAACATACATTGACCGCATGTGTCAATAAGTAATTTATTGCTATTGTTTAAAAATTGTTCATAATGCCCATTTTGCTAATTCATTGACATTGCTGTTCTATGAATGAGTTAAAATTATATTTGTTTTAATGTTTTCTTAGGATACTAATACAAGAGGATCAAGTGAATCCAAACTAATCCAAGCTAAGGTAGAATAAACTTTTTTTCCACAGATACCTGGTACAAAAGAAAGTGGGGACACAACATCACAGAATTCAAGCAGCGATTTGATGCACAGATTACCAAGGGAGAAGGACCACGGAGACTCCGAAATCTTTATTTCTTGTACCTCATAGAGTTGAGGGCTTTAGCTAAGGTGTTGCCTTACTTTGAGCGTTCTACCTTCCAACTTTACACAGGAAACAACGCACAGGATACAAAAAATAAAAAACTTCTTCTGGAAATTCTTCAGTTGGCTAAGTAAGCAATTGTTTGTTAAAAGCAACCTTAGATTTTTAACAAGCTTTGTAAGAAGGTGCTGTGTCAAATGATCAGTAATAGCTGCCTTATTGTTCTTTGGTTTTAAAGAAAACCTGATTGTGCCTGTTGCTTCAAGCAGTCTTGTGAAAGCTTTGTCAAAGAAATTGGTTTGTTGTTATCACAGTTGTAAGAAACTGGACCATATTAGTCCTGTCTTCTAGTTTGTAATTCTGATGATGATGATGACAAGTTTGATTAAAGGGCTAAATCCACAAAGCACCCTGCAACTCCCATTATCCCAAAAGAAATCCTTCTCATTTCAGAGCTGATAACTTGCAGAAAAATTCTAAGTGTGATGTTCTTAATTCTGAGTCAGTTACACACATTAGGATTTGCCTAATCTGAAATTTTTAAAAGCAGAATCTGTCACATGGGTTGCAGCAGATAGTCTGAAAATTTTTAATCCAAATTCCGTTATTCGACCTCTTTGGCTCCTCCGTTTTCTTCAATATTGTGAATTGAAAAATATTGATCTGCTAAGAGTATGTTACATGAATGAATTTTTGAATTTCATAAGTAATGAATACTTGTCACCTACTTGCAGTTCTATCTTGATACCAATGGTACAAGATAAAAGTGGCATTGAAATATTTTACCCGTCCATTTCACAGCACACATGATTACATGGTGGCTCAGTGGTTAGCTCTGCTTCCAGGGTCCCAGGTTCAATTCCACCTTTGGGTGACTGTCTGTGTGGAATTTGCATAGTCACCCTGTATCTGTATGGGTTTCCTCTCGGCGCTTTGGCTTCCTCCCATAGTCCGAAGGTGTACAGGTTAGGTGGATTGGCCATGCTAAGTTGCCCATAGTGTCCAGGGACATCTTGGCTAGGTGGGTTAGCCATGGGAAATGCAGGGTTACAGGGATAGGGTAGGGGGTGGGTCTGAGTGGGATGAGCCAAATGGCCTGCTTCCACACTGTGGGGATTCTAAGAAATACAGCACCCATTTAAAAAAAAAATTGCTGCTACATGAAAAGAAAATACAAACACACTTGCAACAGAATAATAACAATATTCTTATGCCTGTTTTTTTTTATAGTTACTAACCCATACTATCTAATCTCCTCATGCCATAAGTCTGTATTGTATAGATTTCCAGTGTCTATTCTATTTCCAACTTCACACTTCCTCATGACGCCTGTCACGCATTTTCCCATTTCACTATTTTGCCTATCTCCCTGTAATCTCCTGCATTCTTTCTCAATTTATGTCCCTTAATTTATTAATATTAAATTTCAAAAATACTAGCTAGCTTTTTTAACTCATGCCTTTATAATGATAGTAACACAAGTCTTAGAGCAGATCCCTGGACACATTACCTACATCCCAGAAATCCTCTATTCATGTGCTCATTTTGGTATCACTGTCATTTCACTATCTATATGACTACATATCCTGCTAATACTAAGTACCTGAATCATTCTAATAAATCTTTGATGTAGTACCCTATCAAAATAGATATGTGTATAGTTGTCACTCTTTGAATCCATATTTTCTGTAACCAAGTAAATTCAGAGAAAGCTGATAATGGACAATACGTTGCAAATTACATTTCTGTTGTTACTCAGTAATGGATTTCCAAATAATAACAAAGTGTTCTATTCTAGATCATTTCCCTTTCCCTTTGATGAACATTCCTTGTTTGCTGGGGAAAAAAAGGAAGCTGAAAATCTCAAGGTAACAATATGCTGAAAATGTTTTATGCTTAGAGACAAAGGGTCAATTGTAAGCCATGGTTCATTTGATGCAGGTGCATTTTCTGATGACAAGCCATTGTAGGTAATGCACTAACGACATAAGCTCCTTAGCACCTTGAGTTAAACAGAATTCACGATATCATACACTTTGCTCAAAAAAGTTTCCTTTATAAATTTATGAATGATTAACTTACAGCACAAACCAATATAATGTCTCTTTACTAGTCCATATTTTGGATTGTTTCAGCAGTTCTCTAACATTAAGTAAGATTACAGTAGCCATCTAGTTACAGCAGAGTGCCAGGCCAGTTAGCACAGTTTGGTTAAAACACCTAGTGTGTGATTCAGAATAATACCAGGAGCATGGATTTGATTCCTGTTTCAGCTGAGACAGACTGTGACTGACCTCCTTGCCCTCTCTCTGGGAGTGGACAACAATGGGAACTTCCTACTGAAAAAGTATGCCTAGAAAAAGCTCAGGATGAAGCATCAACAGGCAATGAGCCCATGACCTTCCTTCAGGCAGAACAACAGCAAATTCGTGAGCTTTTAGCTATTTGTTCACAGTGCCAACAGAAATTCAATTATTACTTGGGATTTTGATACATACACTCACGACATATTATAACTACTAAAATCCCAACTATTACTAGTGAAAATTGCATATTGCTGATCAAGGTTCTATCAAAACCTTGGTTAGGGACAAAAAAAAAACTGCAGATGCTGGAATCCAAGGTAGACAAACAGGAGGCTAGGAGAACACAGCAAGCTAGGCATCATGTGGAGGAAAGGAGAAGTCAACTTTTTGAGTATTACCTTTCTTCAAGAGGTAATACCCAAAAAGTTGACCTCCTTTCGTCCAGATGCTGCCTGGCTTGCTGTGTTCTTCTAGCCTCATGTTTGTCTACCTCTATGAAAAGCTTCTCTATGGAACACTGCATCCCATTCGTTATGCAGCAAATGGTGGAAGGGGAAGAGTGTGACAGTATTTATGTCATATTGGATGTTATTGCATCCTATCAAAAGCCAATAAGCTAGGTGCATTTTTCAATGAAATTACATGGAGTTAAATGCTCAGTTTAAAAAAGAAAAAGGTCAGCTGCCTTGTTGGTACAGAGCTAAATCCACAATATGGTGTGGCACTGAGCACTGGAAGATCCCAAATTCCAATTCTGATCAATGTTGAATTACCCTATTTTGGCCATGATATCCATAGAGTTTATGCAGTTGGTCTCAAAGTACAAATACAGGGCAAAGAAGGACATATAATTTTGGAACAACTTGAGATTTCCGTCGCTGATTATCATCTGACATTTGCTGAAAGTACAGATACGTGAACATTAGCGAATTGGATTGTCAGACAAATGTTGTTTATTCAAAAACAGCTGTTTCGATTATAATCCAATCTGACGATTAAATAATTCCATAATTTCTAGTGAAGATCTTTGCGATAATGTTTTATTGTATTAATGATTTCACATATCAGTCAGATGTACTTTATCCTATCCAGACTATCCTGATTCCAAAAGAAGCACCTGAGTTAATTTTGCAGACAGAATGTTAATTTAATGACAAAATTGATGGTATAATTTAGAAATTTGGTTGGATTTTGCTACTAGTGGTGAATGAAAATTGGCAGCCATCTACTTTAACTTAAAAAGCAAAAACACTATATCACCCCTTCCAGAGAATCTAAGAGATGACATTGAAGAATCATTAATGAATGACCTCGTCTGTCCCAGTAAGCATCAATTAGACCATTTAATTTGTGGCTAAATTGGGTATAGAAATAAAAAATAAAAGAAATGTCAGATTATTGGATGAGGAACGATTAATTTTAAAAATTCTGATTAAATTCTGTAACTCCACATTTTTAAAAGTTAATTTGGTTGTTTGACATACCTAAATTTCATTTGAAAGCCTAACCTTTTCAAGCAAATTTTAGATTGACTGCAAACATGCTGCAACTTCACAGCATTCTATCTAATTCAATGGCAAGAACCATAGTGAAGTGCAGCAAGGGATGGAGCAGATTATGAAGATACTGTTTGTCAAGCAGGCAATGACTTACTGCACATTTTTTTTTGAGGGGTGATTCTGAGAAGTGATATTGTTGGTCTGTACTGTTTAGCTAACATTATTGCCTCCCCATGCCACAGCCAAGCTACGTCAATGAGTCTGAGCGATCAGGAACCAAAAATTAACTACTAATGGCAGCTGACAGGAGTAACCCAACTGTTCTAGAGATCCTGTCCAGGATGATTAAGGTGTTGGTGGCAGAAGATGCAATCGCCAATTACTTCCACCATCTTGGGTTCAAATGGTCTATGAACAATAGTCCCTCTAAACTACATGGTCGTGCCTGGCGATCAGTGTCAGAACGTCAATCGTGATATTGTCTTCCAGTTCTGGAAGTGACTGCCATGTATGGGCCTCCGAAGCTTGTCCAACTGAGAAGAAAATTAGAGGAAACCACTGCTTATGAACTTACAAGATACAGAGAATGAAGATTTGATTTGATTTTATTATTGTCACGTACTGAGATACAGTAAAAAGCATTGTTTTGCATGCTATCCAGACAAATCATACCATACAAAAGAACATCAGGGTAACAGAACAGAATATAGTGTTACTGTTACAGAGAAGGTGCAGAGAGAGATAAACTTTAATGTAAGATGTCTGTTCATAAGTATGATAACAGTGGGGAAGAAGCTGTTCTTGAATCCGTTGAATAGAAGGAAGTCTGGTTTGTGTGATGGACTATGCCGCGTTCTCAACTCTGTAATTTCTTGCGGTCTTGGGCAGAGTAGTTGTCATACCAAGCCGTGATGCATCCGGATAGGGTGCTTTCTGTGGTACATCTGTAAAAGCAGCAGGGTAAGGTGTACCAACCTGAGGCTCTTTTTGCCCACTTGCTGGGAGCCAGCATGTTAATCCCAGCAGAGACAACCAGAGAACAGGGTGGCATGCTGCAAAACAACTGAAATGAGGCAATTTTAGATGCAGCACATTCTTCAACCAAAATTCCCAACAATGCTGATGAACGTTAGGAATCTGATGCTTGCCTGTTTCCCAGCTGAAGCTGCAATGTCCGCAGACATGAGGAGCAACTTTTGTTTTAATACAGAGCGTGTTTTGCGTGTGGAATGAACTTCCTGAGGAAATGGTGGATGTGGGCACAGTTACAACACTTAGGATACTTGGATAAGTACATGAACAGGAAAGGTTTTGAGGGATATGGTCCAGCAGCAGGCAGGTGGGATTAGTTTAGTCTGGGATTATGTTCAGCATAGGCTGGTTGGAGCGAAGGGTTTATTTCCATGCTCCATGACTCTATGACATGTCTCAGGAATTCACGCTGTAGCATGTAATACACAAGAAAAGTTTGACTGCATTGATGACATTACAGATTGCATTTTAGGTGTTCATGATCACAATTGCCTAATAAAAGCAGCTCGGATAGTTTCAGTTTAAGAAACAGCAGTTTAGATATGATATATTTGTTAATTGGACAAGGAGAAATATACAGTTGAGGTAATTGGGGATGATTCACTGATACCAGACATTCAGTAATTTGGTAGATATGTTCTAAGAAATGACCAGAAATGTCCATTCACCCAGACATTGCACAACATTTCAGGCATCAAGTGCTGACTGTGAGCATGGGTTTAGCTTCATGAACTTGATTAAGTATCAATACAGAAAGAAATTATGATAGATCACTTGGGCAACTTGATGCGAATTAACTTTTACATTTCATCTGCACAAAATATCAACCTGAATAAAGTGTACAACAATAGACAGCAAATAAAGATAAGCATAAAAAGCTACCAACAAAAGAGTGAATAAATTACTAGTGCCCTCTCTTGGCTATGGAGCATATGTGGTGTACATAGCGTCACCATCATACGGTTCTGAGGCGAGCAAACAGCTTTGTTTATTTTAGCAGGTAGAATACCTGTAGTTGTAAATTAATATAAATTAACACTTTTATAATTGTTAATGAACAACCTGCAAAAGAATTGCAATAAAATTTCCACTCAATAAATGCAATTGCTGTTTACACTATTTTGGGTTTCGCACGTGAATTCCACACCACAGCAGACTAGGGCTTGGATCTAATCCTTTGGTCGTGGGATTTCTTGGCTCTGTTTATTGCATGTTGCTTCTGTTGTCTTGGCATGCAAGTAATTTTGTGTTGTGGCTCCACCAGGTTGACATCTCATTTTTTTGGCACGCCTGGTGCTGCTCCTGGCATGCTCTCATGCACTCTTCACTGAACCAGGATTAATTTCCCCTTGCTTGATGGTAACGTTATAATGGAGGCTATGCTGGGCCATCAGGTTACAGATTGCGGTTGACTACAATTCTACTGATGACCCAAAATGCCCTCCTGGATGTTCAGTTTTGAGTTTAGTTCTGTTTGAAATAAATACCATTTAGCATGATGGTGCCGAACAACACAAACTGAACATTTTTCACATGTTTTTATCCAATTTTATTTTTGACTGAGCGTATTTGTAAGCAAATCAGGTTACATAGAGTTTTTGTGGCTAGTTTGAAGCTTTGTAACAGGAATTTGTGGATAGGGCCCCTGTGTTTTGGACATAATGAATTTGACATACAATAAAGTTGCAGTAAGATTTGTTTTTAAAGTCCAGAGCCCTGCACAGCATTAATGAGGCTAATTCTTGTGCAATGGAGATAAAATATTACAGAATGGTAGGGGTGAATTTGGTGACAATTCTCTTGTCACTTGTCTGTACCCCTGGCTTCAGAGTAGGATTGGTTAAAGTCTGTCCATTCTCAATGAATGGATTGTGGCCTGAATGGTAACAGAAAACCTGATTTTTTGGATTTAATGGTATAACAAGAAAATAAAATCTGCATTTCTTTCCTATCGTAGGAAGAATTTCGTCTGCATTTCAAAAACATTTCAAAAATAATGGATTGTGTTGGTTGCTTTAAATGTAGACTCTGGGGCAAGCTTCAGGTCAGTATTAGGCATCTCCTCCAAAAAAAAAGTATTTTAAAACTGCCTCATGCCTGACAAGATATTAATATATTACTATAATCCAAAGACACAGGGATTGGGTACTGCTTTGAAAATCCTGTTCTCAGAGAAACAAATAAAAAACTTACCAGACTCTGGTCCATCTCAAAGATTCCATCTAAAGCGTCAAGATACTGTTGCACTCCTTAATGCTTTCGGAAGGTGAGTTTATACAACTTTTTAATGCTGATCTATACATTTATGTTGGAATTAATTTATTGTTTGAGTTTTACTGAAATGTTTTGTTTTGGGAGTGTTAGTTATGGAATGACGCATTGTAAAAGAAATGGAGAGACTAAGCAGCTTCTTGAGCCTGTGCTCCCATCTGGATGTCTCCTTTACCCTGCTGTGTAAAGTACATGACTACATACCAGCAAAAATAGGGTCAACACTGTTAGTTATTTATCAACGAGAACATAAGAATTTGCTACAAAAACAAATTGCTGGTGAAACACTGCAGGTCTGGCAGCATCTGTGGGGAGAAAGCAGAGTTAACATTGAGTCCAGTGACTTCATTAGAATTTGTTTTTGTTTTTGTTGCAGATCTCCAGCATCCACAGTTTTTTTTGTTTTATATAAAAAGTTGCTCTCTGGCTAGAGTGGCAAGCTCCTAATTTATATTTTTCTTCTGCCTTGGGCAAATTCCATGAGAGTGCTGTGCTTAATGTAAATAGGTACCCATGTCAATTACCAATCCTTGAGATTTAAGTTGGGCGTCAGAAATTCCATTCTTCATTTCTGCTGCAGTCCAAGAGTCTAGGATTATAAATCATTTGCAATATAATTTAGAAAGGTTTTCTGACACCAGCGGACAGCAAGTTTTCCTTTTGTATTTGAATACTGTTCTAATTCTTGACTATTGAATGTTAGTCTGACAAGGTCATTTCACCACTGGAGCATAACAGTAATTCATTTTCTTTTGTTACAGGATTTCCACAAGTATCTGGGAGCTTCAGAACTTCACAGAGTTACTGGAAGCTGTACAATAATGACTCCAAACTGCCCCTTAGCTGTTAAGTCAAAGGACAATTTTATCCCCTCATTAATGTCACATAATTTTTGCAACAAAGAAATGTAATTGAATTCTCCAGCTAAAGGCTGTAACTTTTTTTTTAAAAAAATCACTGATCACTCCTGGGCAGCTGCCCAAATTTTGCTGAATGTGAAAATGAATTGAAGTTGAGCCATGTTGTGCTGTAAAATAGCTTGCTATACGGAGGGAATATCACTGATTATTCTGTACCTTTCAACTGCTAAACATTCTAATCTAAATATTGGCAAATGTGTTGCAGATATTTGATTCCAAATGTTTACACGGGTGAAATGTTACTGATTTTTAAACTCATGTTGAGTTTACAAAAATGCACTGTTCGCAAACATTTTTTTTTGATTTGAGTTATTGAAAACGCAACTTGGTAATAAATTTCAATCTGGTTATTGTGTTAGTGAAATACAATTAGAAAATTACAGTAACTTTGCTAACCTCAGCATTTTGTGCTCTGAAAGTGGAGGATAAAACTTCCTCTGCTTTTGCTCAACAAGTGTAGGTGCATTGTTCCTTGAAAGTGGAGTTGCAGGTAAACAGGGTGGGGAAGACGGTATTGGTATGCTTGTCTTCATTGGTCAGTGCACTCAGCATAGGAGTTGGGAGGTCATGTTACGGCTGTATAGGATACTAGTGAGGCCACTATTAGAATACTGCGTCCAATTCTGGTCATCCTTCTATAGGAAGGATGTTGATAAACTGGAGAGGGTGCAGAAAAGATTTACAAGGAAGTTGTTGGGTGGAGGGGTTGAGCTCTAAGGAGACGCTTGAATAGGCTGCGGCTATTTTCCCCAGAGCATTGGAGGCTGAGGGGTGACCTTATAGAGGCTTATAAAAACATGAGGGGCGTGGGTAGGGGTGAATAGCAAAAGTCTCTTTCCTAGGGTGGAGTCCAAAACTAGAGGTCATGGGTTTAAGGTGAGAGGGAAAAGATTTAAAAAGGACTTGAGGAGCAACTTTTTCATGCAGAGAGTGGTGCGTGTATGGAATGAACTACCAGAGGAAGTGGTGGAAGCAGGTACAATTATAACATTTAAAAAGCACCTGGATAGGTATATGAACAGGAAGAGTTTAGAGGGATAGAGACTAGCAAATGGGACTAGGTCAGATTGGGATGTCTAGTCAGTGTGGACGAGGCGGACCTGTTTCTGTGCTGTATTACTCTGACTCTGTGGCTCTCCTTTGGAAATATTGTACTAGTGCAGTCAATTTTCACAGAAGGCATCCTCTTAGCATAAGTTGATGCTGAACACCATGAAGTTTGGTCTGCATTACCTCAAGCTTCATTATTCGAGATTGTTACGCTCAAAAGAAACTTGCTGATCTGGCTACATTTGTGGATTCAAACTCAGCTGTCAAAAGTGAAAGTATTATGCATCCTAATGAAATATAAGTTGAATTAGCATTCTGATATTTCCATAGCATTTGAATGTGAAAAGTATCATTGTTGAGGAAAGTTTAAAGATAGTGAAAATTAGAAAAAGCATGACTTTGTTGTACTTGATAACTACTCTAAAAACAGCCAGAATGAATCATTGCAAATGAAAACTCCTTAATGGTTTTGTTTAAGTATTCTATGACTTAAGATATGGGGGGAGATTTACAACTTGAAACTGTTGCATGGGAATTACATTGTCATAGAGTCATACAGTCATACAGCATGGAAACAGACCCTTCGATTCAACTCGTCCATGCCGACCATGTTCCCAAACCAAACTAGTCCCACTTGCCTGTGTTTGGTTCATATTCCTCCAAACCTTTCCTATTTATGTACTCATATATCTTAAATGTTGTAGCTGTACCAGCATCCACCACTTCATTTATTAGTTCATTCCATATATGAAATGTTATGTAAAACAAAAGTTACCCCTCATGTCCTTTTTTAAGTCTTTCTCCTCTCTCCTTAAAAATATGTCCCCCTAGTTTTGAACTCCCCCAACCTAGGGAAAAGATCCTTGCTATTCACTTTATCTATGCCCCTCATGATTTTATAAACCTCAAAAAGGTCACCCCTCAAACTCCTATGATCCAGGGGAAAAAGTTTGGGCTTATCCAGGCTATATTTTTAACTCGAACCATCCATTCCCAGCAACATCCTGGTAAATGTTTTCTGAACCCTCTCTAACTTAATAATATCCTTCCTGTAGTAGGATGACCAGAATTGTGCATAGTACTCCAGAAGAGGTCTCATCACTATGCTCTTTGACCTCAAAATGGCATCCCAACTCCTGGAGTTGTAAAGGGTCATTCCTTTGCTCTGAGGTTATGCCGTCAGGTCCTTGTCTCTCCTACTAGTGTCCACCCTATCTACATCTGTCCGTATTCTGTAAGTTTCAATCAGATTCCCCCTCCTCCTCCAAAACTCCATCGAATACAGACCGAGTGTTCTACTGCTTCTCATGTGACAAGCCCTTCATCCCCTGGAACCCCTCCAATGCCAGCACATCCTTCCTTAGATACAGGGCCTAAAACTGCTCAATATTCCAAATGCATTCTGACCAGAGCCTTATATAGCCTCAGCAGTACATCTTTGCTCTTGCATTCTGGCGTTCTTGAAATGAATGCTAACATTGCATTTGCTTTCCTTACTGCCAACTGAACCTGCATGTTAAGCTGAAGAGAATCCTGAAATAGGACTTCTAAGTGCCTTTGTATTTCAGGCATCCAAAGCCATTCACTGTTTACAAAATAGTCTAAGCCTCAGCTCTTCCTCCCAAAGTGCATAACCTCATATTTTCTAACCTTGTATTCCATCTGACACTTCTTTCCCTGCTCTCCTAGCCTGTCATTGAACAGTGATCAAATATTTCTTTGGGTAATCCGTATCTTGTGAAGGATTGGCGCTGTCTCAGGAAATCTTGTTGCAGCATCCATTTTTGTTAAAAGATACTGACTCACACTCCTGGTGTCAGGTAGGGCTGTACACAACCTAAGTACACATGACAATAAAATCTAAAGCTAAATCGTTCATCAAAAACTGGTATTGGAATTAAAGTTACAGATTTAATTGATTTTTTATCAGCCACTAGTGTTATGATACTCATATGGAACTACTGCATGTTGAACTTCATTTCTTTATTAACAATTTGCCTTTTAAATAATAACACTCAGAAATTGAATCAGAACCATGTGTGGGTGGTTTGACACAGCTGTCTCTATTCAGGGTCTATCTGTTGTATTTCTTTCAAAAAAGATACACTAAACATGTCAGGAAGATTGCAGCTTGCAATGTGGACAAGATATTGATGAAGGTCAACATGAGCCACAAGAAGGACAGAAACCCAGCTTGTCACAATCACCAGCTATAAACAAAAACTACCTGGAAATGCCTGGGAATCAATGCTGGCGCAGAGTGGGACTCACCAGTGATACAGTCACTGACATATGTGCCCTCATCTCTGAAGATCTTGCTCTTCCCAGCACTAGTTGTCATGCCCTGTGAATGGGTATCAAAGTCACTGTGCCCTTGTGTTTTTTTCGGTTTTTGGCTCTAAGGCTCAGCTGTGAGCCTTCGGTAGCATCCTTACAAGTGGTTGTTCATTACATTTTGCAGATCACCAATACCCTCTTACTCAAAGCTGGCCATGACATCTTTTAATGACAAACACTTAATGGACTCCCCTAAGTTCAGGACATTATTGATTGAATTCGAGGCAATCTTGGCACCCAGTGATCTGCCATCAACGTCCCCCAAACATCTCACTGGTCAGTAACCACAAGAGCTTCTTTTAATATCTGTGCTTGCTTCCCTGACTATTGCCATGGCTCTTTCATTCTTTATCATCACTTTACCCCAGTGTATGTGGATAGTTAGTCATTGACCTCTTTATCCTGTTCCTGTCTTGGCTCCCACAACCAACTGCACCTGCTCAACAGGACAACCGCTGAGAGGCCACTGGCTTTCTGCAATGGGCATTCCAGAGTCTGAAACAGGTAGCTGGTACTGTCTTGCAAGAGTCTTGCTCATTGTTGTTGTCTGCCATGATATAACCCTCCAGAGATGGGAACCTTGAGGATGAGCAGTCTCTAAAAGGGGAAAGCTGATCCAAGAAGGAAGCAGAGGTGTAGATATATCCAAGGTGGTGGCAGTGTGTGGTGTGGGCTCCTGAGCCTGGGGCTCGTCCACTTTTTTCTTCCTCTTCTGTATTAAATCTTTTCAGTTTTTACTTCTACTTATTTTCCGGGGCGAACTCAGTCATGGCAGTGATGGCATCGACGAGGAAGGCGGTAGGGAAGTGCTTCATTGGGGGCCAGAGCATGGCAGTAGCTGGACAGCCTGTTGACTGGCAGCGAGACAGCTGAGATGTCTGGAACAGAACCTTGGCAGCAGCATCAAGGAGGCGGCTGGCAGAGGGGTAAGCATGGAACCCAGCATTGGCTACCAGAAATCGGTGAGGTAGGCCCAGAGGTGAAAGTTGGCACTTGAGGAGCACCAACTTTCACGGTGGTTGGGTCCTGCACTGGCTATGGCAAAGTGGTGGTAGAAGTGCTGTGGACTCTCTTTAACCTATTTCTTTAAATAATTCTTATACTATTCAAAATGGCAACAATAGAAGCTTTCACTTTTTACTGTGTTTTTCACTGTAAAATATGAGAAAATCATTTATAATTCATAACCATTCATCATTTGTAGGGGGGGGGAAATTATACCTCTATGGCACATTCCAGTCTTCTTGTGGTAGCCTTTGAGAAGGGGACTTTCCTCCTGTCCTGACAGTCTCCAGAAATAGATCCAGGTTGGCTTTGATTGAAGCCAGAGTCTGCAGTGCTGCTCAGGCCTTGGGCTCCTCTGTGACCTCTCATTTCTGTCTGATGAAGTCGAAGATTTTGACACAATCTCTCTCTCTCAAAACACTCAGCTGCCTCCATGATGGCTTCTATGGGACGTCTAAACAAGTCCCACAGGTCAACTGACCAACCTTCATTCTTGTCCCAATAGCCAATAAAAGCCTTCCATCTACAAAAATCTAAGTTTTAATCAGCTTGCAAAGAGAGGTGGGTTTCGGACCCAGAAACAAGACTTGGCTTCTATTTCTTCCCTCTGTGGTGAAATGGAATTTAGGGGGCTGCTCTTCCAAACTGGCAATGCTGTGGAAGTAACAGTGTAATATGATCTGCAGATTCTAGCTCTTTTATTAAAGAGTTTCATGTGTAATATCTTTCATGTCATCAAAACATCTCATCCCTTCACATGCTATAACTCGCTTTGAAGTGCAGCATCTGTTTCATAGGGAGCCCATTAGTTCAGCTGATCTACACTCTGCCTAGCCAGACTAAACACCAGGAGTGATTGGGGTGGGTGGGGGAGGGGGGGGGGGGGGGGGGGGAGGAGGAGTGCAGGGGAGTTGGGGTTTGATTCCTATTCTGGCAGAGACAGA